TGAAAAGCATTGGTAAGGAAGGAGCTTGGTGGATTCTCACTGTTATGGTTAGTTTGGTGAGTATCCATAAATAATACTTCGCATCTTCCCTTTCAATCATGAATGAATATTCATCCTCTCTATCATTCATGGTTTTATCAACTTCATCTCTCCACCCATTTATGTTAGGCTTGACCACCACATACTCTTAAGAATCATTTGTTCATGGTTTTATCATCATCATCTCTCCACCTATTCATGTTAGACATGGCCACCATAATCTTAACACCATTGATTTAAATTGCATCATATTAAATGATGACCATAAATTAAATATATTATTATAGCTCTTTGTTTTCATATTGAATAATAATGAGGTGTACCCTCAACCTTTCATTTAACATCCCCCTTTCCATCTATTACCAATTTGGAATCACAGACAAAAGAAGATTCATCTACTTATTTGTAAAAATAATTTGATCACCTCCTCTTTTTTGAATTAATTTGATGAGTAAACTCAAAGCCACTGATTGCTCTTTCTAATATTAACTTAGATTTTCAAATTAATACTCCCATGGCTCTTTTCTGTCAAAAAATATTTTTTTTCTCCCACCATTCCAAAAATAAGCCTAGGTCAAGGTGGACCACTGTGTAAAATTGCGCAACTTGAGGCGCGCCTCAACGCAATTTTCATTTGGAACGTATCGAGGCGAACGCATGGAAGGGCTTTTGTGAGGTGTACGCCTTGAGTTTATAGAGGCGCGCCACACTTCATTTATGTGAGGCATTCGCCTCAATAAAATAGAAAAAAAATTAAAAGCTTAAACCTAAGCATCCTCGATTCATCTTTCACGTGTTGTTTGACTTCGTCTACTGCAGCAAAATTTTGAATGATTTGCTAAAACTACTTCTCCTTCGTCGACGACTTTCCCTGTTTGATCATAAGTTAGCATAGTTCGACGAGTTGGATCGGAAGTCACGAAAGGTTTGACGACACCTTCGTCTGTTGTGGTAGTTTCGCACGATTCATTAAAATCCCATTCGCCTTCGTCCACGATATCCCCTATTCGATTGGAAGTCAGCACACGTCAACGAGGTTGTCTATTGGATCGAAAGTCACGAAAGGTTCCTCGACCTTTTCTCGCTGCGTTAATAACCATCTTTCTAAACTTTCATGTACTCCTTCGTCAGTGTTGTTCGGCCTCGCTTATGCTGCATTGAAGGTAAGCATTTTTTTTCTCTTGCTTAATTTTTTTATTGTTATTTTTACATGATACACTTCTCTACAATTTAATCTGCATCATTACTTTATTACATATGCTTTTAATGGATTTTGCGGTTGATTTGTATTATGAGTTTTTATTTCTGTGATTTGAATTTCAATTTGTATTCAAAGCAAGAGTTCTTACAAAAAAAGAAACGAAAAGTCAATTAAACTTCTCTTTCTATTGATTAAACTGAACAGCCCTCTCCAGCATTCCTCTTGCTTCATTGTCTGTTATTTCAAGCTTTAATCCATCTTTTCAAGTTTTCTAAGTTCATCTATTTTAATAATTGAATAAAATTAAATATTTTTCTTTTATTTAATGCATTAATAAATAGGATTAAATATTGACCCTCTAGATCATTTACATTTATGAAGGTTTTCTTTTTCTTAACAAGAAACTCAATAAGAGTTTAAGGGGATGCTTATTTACTAATAATTTTTAGTTGTTTTTTATTATTTATTTTATGATGAATTATTATGTTTTTCAAAATTTGTTCATATTAATGATAGTGTAAGTATGATAAAATATTTAAAAAATGGTTAGATCAAAATACTAAAAATATAATTTTATTTCTTATTAATATTTGATGACACAATTTTTTAAAATTTTACAATTATGGTTAAAAACCAAATTTTGTTTTTTAAATATTTGATAATAATTAGATGGGTAGATTAAACATCATTATTTGTTATTCATAAAACATTAAAAATAATGCTCAACAAACTACTGCTAATTTTGATTTAAAAATTATGAATAAATTTGTTAAATTATTAATTCAACTCAATTAAAATTTGATTATAATTAAATTAGTAAGTATAATAAAAACTTCTTAAAAAATTATACTCAAATCAACATAATATATTAATTTATCTTTCTAACTTGAAATTTTGATTATAATTAAATTAGTAAGTATAATGAAAACTTCTAAAAAAATTATACTCAAATCAACAAATCTTTTATACATATACATTCCTACCTTTCAAGTCAATCAGAAGAATTTGCAGCAGATTGTTATTGTAGTATTCTTCCACTTTTTGAGTGGCAAATAGTTGAGTAATATTGAAAAAAATATTGAGGAAATTAAGAGGACTTAGGGCCCAAACAAGGTATTACAATTATGTTTGATAAATGGTAAGATGTGAAGAACATAAGTTTAATTAACATATTGATTAATAACTTATATGGCACCTTTTTTTTTAAAAGTCAATTGAGGAATTTGATATTGTTAAAGATGTTGAGTTTATTTTTGGATTACTAGACAGTGTTGTTCAGAAGATTGGAGAGCACTTGATTGTCCAAGTGGTAACAAATAATGTTAGTGCTTATAGGGCCGCAAGGACAAAACTTATGAAGAAAAGGCAACATTTATATTGGAATCCCTATGCCACACATTGCATTGATCTAATCCTTGAGAAGCTTGGGGAGCGGAGCTGCCGTAGCACAAAAATAATTTGACAAAAGCAAAGAAGATACGTAAATTTATTTACAATCATTCTTGGAGTTTGGCGCTTCTGAGAAAATTTTCAAAGAAAGAAATATTTTGTCTGCAGCAACAAGATTTGTCACTACTTACTTTGACTCTACAGAATATATTGGACGCTAGGCAACCTTTGGAGTCTATATTTATCTCTATACAATAGTTGAGCTAAGCTTGGGGGAAAAATCTGAGAAGAAAGAGGTTAGAAAAATTATTATAAATGAAAACTTTTGGCAAAGTGTCATGTATACAATCACAACCATTCTGCCATTAGTGCAAGTTCTTAGGATGGCCTATGCCGAGAAGAAGCCTGATATGGGCTTTATATACAATGTTATAGACAAAGCAAAAGAAATGATTGTCTGCAGTTTAGAAGGTGAAGAGGGGAGCTAAAGATAAATTAAAAATATTATTGATGATAGATGGGAACTATAGCTTCACGAAATTTGCATGCAGCATGCTATTATCTGAACCCTCAATATCAATATGTTGAGAATAAATTTAGAAATCCTAAGATAAAATTAGGATTATATCATTACATAAATACACTCATAGCTGATTCAACTAAAAAATCAAATGTTGACATACAACTAATACTATTTATAAATAAAGAAGGTTTTTTTGGATTACAACAACCAAATGATATTATTTCCAAGCGATCTTTGGGTAAGTTAATTTGTTGCTTTACTTTATTATATACTCATTTATTTAAAAGTCATTCCATTAATACTAACTCCACTTATATATATGAATCTTAGTTGAATGGTGGATTCAGTTTGGAGATGACACTCCAAAATTGTAGTATTTCGCTGTGAAAGTTATAGGATTAACGTGCTCTTCATCGGGATTTGAACGCAAATAGAGCACATACAACCAAGTGCATACAAAGAAAAAAAATCGTTTGACAAGCTTAAGGATGAATTCCTTAGTATACATTATGTATAATAAATTTAAAGAAATGAATTTGAAGAAGAAATGGTTGAAGGATGATGAAGATCCTTCAATTTGTGAGGATATGACATCAGATGACGAGTGTTTTGTAGATGATGAATTGGAGGGTATGACATCTAAATTGCAAAAGGAAGATTTGAATATTGATTTCTTTGACGATGATAGAAATAGAGCATCTACATCTACCACGGTCAAGCACAAAAACGATAAACCAGAAAAGGTATATAAAAAAATAGTTTTTGTTAAAGCTTATTTTAGCTATGAGCCTATGTCATTACTATTTCTTTTTTATATTAAATGTTAATGAACAATATATTGGGAAATATAGAATTATGAGATGAATATATTTTATATTATTTTATTATTGTGATGTTTAAATTTCAATTCAATTTCACAAAGTTGATTACTTGTCATTTTCTATCTTGTGCATTTTATGTTTCATATTTATGACAATTTATTTTTTTACGTAAATTTTAACATATTATTTAGTTATTATATAAAAAATACTTATTTTGACTTTACGTAATTTTCTAATTTTGAGGCTTACGCCTCCAAATGCCTTGAGGCTTGTGACTCGCCTCACAAATGAAAAATGCCTTAATACCGAATTGCGCAATTTTAGACATTAAGGTGGACATCCCATATTGATCTTTTGCGGGATTAATCCTTCATGGAAAATTGTTAGGAAATGAAAATTTGTTCTCATATGTTAAGATAAAGAGTCAGCATCTAAGAAATGCTTGACTAGTTGGCTTCCTTGTCTTTCTAATAAGGAGAACCCTAGCCCCATTAAACTATCTCTCTTTCCTATATCAACAAGGCATAATGATTCAAAAACCACATCATCAATACCACTATCTAAATGTTCAACACTCTACAATAGTTCTTTATAAAGGAAAAATTTATACTAGGCTCGGCCACCTCCAGCTCTTAACACCATTGGTTGATATTCCTCCTATAGCATGCTAGCCCACCATATTTATCTTATAGTTCTTAGTTCATGTTAAATAATGGTGAGGGCTACCCTCACCTTTCTTTTTCTACCACCCTTTCCATTTGTTTATTACAATGACAATAGCAATCTCAATAAGATCTATGCTACAGTAAATATAAAATAAGTGAAACATGATTGCCTTGAGTTTATCAAAAGAAAAGTTTGCTACTAAAAAAAAATCATGTATTAGGGAAAAAAATTAAAAAAATCACAATGAGAGAAATGTAGTTTTGATGACAATGGTATGGTGGGGAAAAAGACAATCCAAAGCAGATTGTTGATTACTTTGTTTCCAAAGAAACTAATCATAGAGAAGTGTGCATAAAATTACCTTGTTGTTTGGAACTTCAATTTTCCGTGATGAACTTGAAAGATCATACGGAATCTGATGCATATCATGTGGAAAACCATCTTGCTGAGGAGCCAAAGAAGCATTTTGTGCATCGTCAATATAAGCATGTTCTATGTTGCTTGTTGATGAAATTTGCCCATTCCCTAATGGCTCCTTTTCCATCATCGCCTGCCTAAGACCTATATCACCAAATGTCCAACTAAGCCAAGCAAATAAACTTACAATGCACCTTGAAGTTTACCAATATGTAAGAGACCACACAAGTAAAATGCACATAAAAACATTAAAAATAAGGCAAAATAAAGAGACAAAGCTCTAAATTTTTACTTTTACACAGTAAAGCTTAACACCATTGAAAATTAGAATTTTTTGTCAGAAATAACTTTATAATATTTCAGATGCAGAAGCAGCTTTCAAACTACATCTTCACTGGCTTATTCTTATAGTTTTCCAATCCATTTCATGGAGACTTTATTCATCAGACTAGTAACGAAGCCCTCAAAACTTACAAACACATTAACAAAGTAGCAGCAGATTGTGTAAGGGAACTCATATAATTCAACCAAAACTTTCAAGAAGAATTGTGAGATGAAAACTACATGGCATTCCACTAAGAGAAGCAAAGAGAAATCAAGAAGGCTTATATCTGCCTGGATTTCTTTGTTTTTTTTTTTCCAAAAATACACCTCTAGGTTTTCAAAGGTATTTTCCTAACCCTTCCATGATTCCTCCATTCACAGGGCCTTTCTTTAGCATAAAGAAGCAACAAACTATAGGATACCCCGTTTAGATCCCCTGAGTTTTTGCATATTGGTAGGGTTATGAACGGTCCGATCTCAATACAATTCAACCCAAGCACAAAATCATCTCAAAGCAATAACACCCCATATCAACCTGTGTAAGGCCTAATTATAGGTTGCCTCAAGCTCTCAACTAGATTGAATTTCAAATGAAAAAATTATTATATTTTTCATCTTCTAAGATATTTTTCAGTTTCACATTAACGGATTGATACATAAATAGATCTATAGATGCATAACTACAAATATTCAAAAACACATGATACAAGTATATATGAGTTCATAAGTACAAACTATATTTACTAAACTTCGGAGTTAGCTCGATTTAATCCAAGCCCGGCTTACTCAAAGTTATTTTAGCTCAATGATTTAGATTTAACACAAAAGATAACACACACAAGGAAGAGGTCTCGTGAATCAGATGAGAAAAAAAAAATAAGCAGAACAGGCAAAGTAGAAATCATCTAGCACAATGTTTGGTTTTTTTCAGTTTTAGTTTCGCAGCACTCGGACGCAGATCACATGCATAAACAAGAAATAAAAAAAAATTACCATCACCACGCATTCAATCTAACTAAAAAAAATCCGAGACATGCCTTCCCCGCCAATCTCTTCATTCTGGCCTGAGTGCTCTTCAACATTCCCGTCAACTGCAGTGATACCATGCGCCGAGTCTGACGTCGTGCTATCAGCCACTGCAACATTTTTTTCCGTGGTCGGGTATCCTAGGAACAAAAATTTCTAAGAAAGCGCGATAATATCTAAACACTTCCCCTGAGGGAAGCACTCAAACCATTAAAAATCCTAATCTGTATGCTTGGAAAAGGCAAAACAAAAGAAAAAAAAACGAAAGCTGGAACCAATGCGACACAGACCAGAGCCGTCAGTTTCCTGAGCTCCAATTTCTCGCGAAGCTTCATCCGACGCCACCGTTCCCTGATCTTCAGCGGGAACCGAACTCTCTGAAGTGGGCTCCGCTATGTCGATCTGCTGCTTCTTGGCAGGGGCCTCATAATTCTCGAGAGGCTCCAGATCATCAAGCTTCCTCTTGTTATCCGAGGCAACCTGAGTCTCCGCTGCCTCGACAGCGGCTTCCGGCGTCCCTTCTTCCGACCGCTCTGTTCCTTCCGCCACTATTTCCTTCACCGGAAGTGAAGCCCCTTCTCCCTCGGAGCCAACCGGCTCCGCAACAGCTAAAGGTTCCTCCTCGGCCATGGAAATTGGTTTCTAGGTTCAAGAAAACTGGGAGGTGAGCAAGGCCTGTGGAGATGGATCGTAGGCGTAAGAACCTGGAGGGTGAGACTGAGACAAAGTAACAGTGCGCGAATGGCGTGGGTTTGTTACTTATAGTAGGGTTTCTTCTGATTGCCCTAAAAATTAAAAAAATTACAGGTATACCACTATATTTCATGCTATTTATATATCTAAAAATTAAAAAAATTACAGGTATACCACTATATTTCATGCTATTTATATATCTAATATTTAATCTTTTAATATTATATGCTTATCATTCATAAAACAAATATAAATGCATGAAATAAAATATTAAAATTTAAAGGTTGATATGAGTGGTAAGAATAAAATATATATGTGATATTTTTTATATTAAAATTTTATGAGTGGTTGGAATATAATATTAAATTTTTTTGTATTAGATATGCAAATAGCATGAAATAAAGTGGTATGTATGTAATCAAATATTTCATAAAAAATTTTTAAATATTATTATTATAATTATTTTTAATATTCGAAGTTATTGAGAAATTTAAATTTTGATTTTATTATCAAATGAGATTTTTGTAGAGAAAATAATTTAATAAATTAAAATATATTTCAATACTATAATAGATTTATGTTTCCATTAAATTTCAATAATTAACTTATGTTATAAAATAATATTTCTTAAAAAAAAAAGTTATGAGAAAAATAAAAGAATCTTTTTCCTGCTATTTTTTGAAAAAAAAAAATTGATATTATTAATTTTTAAGTCATATATTTGATGGTTTATTGTTTATTATTCATAAAAAATATTAAAATTTATTAAATATCTATATTTAATTCATTTCAAAATAAATATAATAATTTTAAAATTCATTCTAACCAAATAATTTATCAAAATGTTCTAATTTTTAATATATTTTTATATGATATATCATAAAAACATATTTGTTGAAATTATATTAATTTGATTACATCAGCATTCTAATTTTTTAATTATTATTTAAAATTTTTAAGCCAAAATTAACATAAGATATTTCTTAAATTCCACATAGTTAGAAAATTATTATCATATGTCTAGTTTGTATTATATGTTATCCCTCGATGGCCAAAATATTATGTCACAAACACTATGCAAGCAAAGAAACATTAAGAATATAACAAAAAAGAAGTTGTAGCATTTATTAGTATGTTTCGTATACATGTAAGCTATAGTGAGAGGTATATTTATACTACTTGTTTAGAGCAAACTTATACTATGAAATTGCTTATCATGTGTTGAGCAACTGCACATGTGCAAGTTGTATGCGGAGTGTTCAAGGCCCATGTGCTTCATTATTTACTTTTTGTTACATGCCCCTTCAAATTGATAGAGTGCTCATCTCGGTCAGTTTGCTAGCAATAGCTTTAAATCTGGAGATGGCTAATGATTTTGTGAAAATGTCAGTAAGCTGATCATGAGTTGCAATATGATGCACAATAATTTATTTTGTTTGAATGCAATTGCGAATGAAATGGCATCCCACTCCAAAATGTTTCGTGCAAGCATAAAACACCAGGTTGTTAGTTAGTGCAATTACGGAGGTTTTGTCACAATATAAGTCGGTGGGTGTTACTAGAGTGTGATGAAAATCAACAAGAAGTTGATTGAGCTAGATTATTTTGGATGCGACAGTAGCGAGGGCCCTATACTCAGCCTCCATAGATGAACATGCTACTATGGTTCTCTTTTTCACATACCAGGAAATGAGAGATCAACCTAAGAAATTGCAATAGCCCTAAGTAGATTTTCTGTCATGTGCATCACCAGCCCAATCTGAATCACTGTAGCTATATAATGTAAGAGTATCTTTGTATAATGGTAGTTCATAAGATAACGTTCCTTGTATGTATCTAAGCAATCTTTTGAGAATGTCAAAGTGACACATGAGGGGTTTGTGCATATTTTGGCATACCTAATGAACAACAAAAGTAAATGTCTCATCGAGTGAGAGTTAAGTATTGTAATGAACCTGCTAACTTACGTTACATATGCATATTAAGAAAGTTAGTGGTATTTGGAACAACAACCATTCGCTTGATAATGTTGGGAGTAGATACCCAGCTTTGAATTGTTCATTATGGCTTGAGTTTAAATCTGTTGAGCATTCTGAGTTTGTGTGCGATGAACTCCGTATGAAGTTGTAGTGACTTGAATGCCGAGAAAACGTGACAACGAGCCCAAGTTGCGTATGCAAAACTGAGAGTGTAATTGGGCAAGTAATATGTTTATTATTGTTTGATCATTTCTGGTAAGCAATATGTCATCAACATATATCAGAATATACATGAGTATGGTACTAGATTGATAGGTTATAAGAAAGGGATCAACATTGCTAAACTGGAAACCAAAAGCCTGTAGTTGTGCAGAGAAGGTAGCATACCACTGTCTATGTGATTGCTTAAGGCCATAGATTGTCTTTCTTAATTTGCATACATAGTTCGGATGAATCTAATCGATAAAGCCAGGGGCTGTTGCATATATACATTTTCCTTGAGATGCCCTGTGGAGGAAAGTGTTTGATACATCGAGTTGTACGAAGGTCCAGTTGTGATGGAGAGTAATGAGGATAAAAACACAAATAGTTGGCATTTTAGTTATAGGACTAAATGTTTCGTGATAATCATTACCCCGCTCTTAATTGAATCATTCTGCAACCAAGTGAGCTTTGTATCTCGCAGTGGATCCGTCTTAGTTCAGTTTAGTTCAGTAGGTCCATCAACAACCAAGTATATTCTGCTCAGGGGATGGTGGAACTAGCTCCCAGGTGCCTTGTACGTGATTATAAGGCTTCAAATTCTTCGAACATTGCCTTGCGTTAGTGTTTATGCTTGGAGGCATGTAGATAGGTGGAGGGATCAGGTAGATGGAGTGTATGAACCAAGTTGAAGATTTGTTTGGGTTTGGTGATGCAACTTTTGAGTTTGGTGGTCATGTGATGGGTGAAGGGTGGTAATGGTGGAGGCTGAGAGCTAAACTGAGGCAAAGGTTGCATGGAAGCATTTATAGGAGTTGGTGGAGAGAGTGTAGGAGATTATTGTTTTGATAGTGATGGGAAAGGAGGGTGGGATTGGGATGTGACTTGGGAGGATTGTGGAGTTTGATGGAGGTTGGATGCTGGGACAAGTAATAAAGGAGGTAAATGTGAAGGAACGGTGGATTGCCCGGTTTTGATGGATGGCTGGAGAAGGGGTGGATGCCTTCATTAAATATAATGTGGCGAGATGTATATATTTTGTGGGTAGTGGGGTTGAGGCAGCGATAACCCTTCTTAGATGAGGCGTAACCAATGAACACGCATGGATGGGAAAGAGGGGTGAGTTTATTTGGAGTGTATATGTGATGCCCAGATATCAATAGTGAAATGATTCGTCTGACATTCTGATCGAACTCCATTCCAGCTGCCTTGCTCAGACCTGAAAATTTCAACCACATATAATGAGCTTACAAAGCCCAGCAGGTCACCAAAGCCTACAACTGAAATCAAAGCACGGCGATGCTATCAATATGCAGGTCAATCAAATCAAATCAATCAATGGTCAATGAGTCTATGCAATGCGGAAATCCATAGTCAATGAAATCAAGTCTGAACAGCGAAAATCAAATCAGTAGTCAATGCAGTACGGAAATCAATACTTCTCAGCATCAATCATAAGGACTGAAGCCAATATTATGCCATCTAGCAGTGTCTAATCATACTATCAGTTCAATCTCGTCGTCCCTAATCAATTCATTGTATCTAATCTTTCACATCAATCAGGATGTCTGTGTCAATTAATAGAAATCATAACGTCAATTAATTCAATAAAGGACTCGTGTCGAGACGTACCTTTGCAAATCAGTCAATCCATTATTCAATACGATTTACTCGATATCATATACAATCAATGACACTACGGCAGTGAGTACGGTCAATAGTGACGACGTACTACAATAGGGAAATCATCTCAATCATAGAGCACTTTCCAGTCAATTATATCTATAGCAGGGAATCCATAGCCAATCGATCAACTCAATAAGCTAATAAACAAATCCAATATGACATCAGGTCAATGACAATACAATCAGCTCCATAAAGAAATCTATCTCCGATAAATCATATTCATACGGCAATATCCATTCAATCAATCATCGATAATGGTCCGATAATCAATTATACGTGTTTCAATAGCTCTAGGATCTTCGTATAATAGTATCCATATGTCATATCATAATCCATATGTCAATGTCGATGTCGGTATCTATCAATCGTACAATCTATATAAATCAATCGGAAAAGCAATACGATAATCAATTGTAGCAAGTCAATACAATGCAAAAAATATAGTATCAATGATATATAATATCAATCTATGCCGTCCATGTCCATATCAATGTCAATAATCAATAATCAATAGTATCAATGCTCAAATGATCAATCAATGAATATCATGAATCCGTACGATACAGTAAAACGATCAAATCAATAAAGCAGATCTTAAACAATAATTCCGTTCAATATAAATCAATTCAATAAATCCATCATATCAATAATCAATCAGAAATCAATAAATCAATGCAGATCAGGAATCTATGCGATGCAATTTATACATGCAATTTCATACAGTGTCTACTCGACAAGCACAAGCACTAGCTATGATCAATAGTGATATGTAGAATCCATAGTGCTGTTGTGAATCCATATTGCGTGTTGTAGATATCCGCAGTTGGTTTCATCAAGAAGAGTCGTCATCTTTTCCCGTCGGCCGTCCGTCGGCATATAAAACTCTTATGATCTCCAATTTATATCAATGATCTTGGTTTAGGAAAGCCGTCGGCCCACCATCCTGTACAGGTCAAGTCAATCTCCAACCAACGTCATCAAGGTTCCCACTTGTCTTCAGTAACAATCAATTCAATCAATAGTCAATGCAATAATCGATGCAAATAAGCAATATAAAAAATCTAGAACAATCATATCAATATCATACGCATATCAATTTAATCTATCAATTTCGGAAATCAGAAAATCATACGAAAATCGGGCGAGTAACGCAGTCTATCAAATTACACAAAAATCCTACAAAAGGCACAAATTCCAAATCTCTCCAATTACAGTAGAATATCCACGACATCATAAACAAAACTATTATTCATTAGATTCCAAATCAAATCACGTCCTGATATTTTCTATTCAATTAAAATCGCGTATCAATTCCGACCGGTAATCGTCGTAGAAAATACTCAATCGTGTACATAGTCATATCTATAACATACTAAAAGTTGTGCGGTGAAAGTTTGTCAAATCAAAATCATGTCAAAATTGACTACGAACACAAAACAGTGCACAACTCGGTCAAAACTCAATATCTCTGAAAACAGAATAGGATTCGGAGTCCTTACCGACGAGTTACACTTTCTCCAACAGCTGCGTCGGACGAAAGCGCTCCGCGGCCTCAAAACCAGCTTTCCTTTACTTTTCCTCTCTTTCTCTCTCTTCTAAATATCTGATTTTAATAAAATGATTTTCTCTTCCTCAAAACGAGTTGATTTTCTTATATATTAGGCTGATTCGGCCGACGCTCGTCAAATCGTCCCGGGACGAGCCCAAATCGATCGCCTGGACGTTCCCAGAACTAGTTTCAGGACGGTATTTTGAACAGTACAGATGGCCTGGCCGACTCTCAATTCGTCCGGACGATCCTGGAGGAACCATCAAGTTAGGAGGATTAGGAACGAGGTCTCAATATCATGGGCGAAGCACGTGTAGATAGCACTGAAGACCTTGAGTGATCATATGTTGGTGGAGCTTGATGAAGTTGTTCTATGGAAATTGTGGGTGTTAGGAGAGGAAGACGATTGATTAGATAAATAGTGGTATGGAGTGCATCGACCACAGGTATTGAGAGAAGGTGAGCTTCAATGAGTATGAGCTGAGGTTTCAAAGATGTGGTCTGTTTGCGCTCAGCCCCATTTTGGAGGGTGTTTCGAAATGGTGTTTGATGAGAATGCCACAAATATTTAGAAAATATTTGAATAAGTGATTGATGAATTCACCGCCCCGTCCGTGCGAAGGGTTCGAATGGTGGCATTAATATGAATCAACCATTATTTTAAATGCAATAATTTTATGATTGCTTCTGATTTTTGAGTTTAGAATAGACCTGTGTAAACTTATTATAACATCAGAATGAAATATAGAATAGTGAAGGCTAGTACTTGAGGGGTAGGGGATGGACCCAATGTCGAATGTATAAGAGCAAATTTTTTCATTACTCTTGATAAAATTTATCTAAATGGAGACGATGCTTTTAGTAGCTGTGGATTCTAATGTAGAGTTGTTAGTTAAGTGATTAGGTGTTAGATAGACATGTGCCAAGTCTTCAATGCCATAGGTTGGTAGCATTGCTGAATAAAGTGAGATTGAGTTGTGTAGATGACGAGGATGTTGAGGATGTTGCCAGTGGAATGTTAAGAGGATAAAAACCATAACACCCGCGAGTAGAGCGTCGGTCTTCTGGTCGTTGGTTATAATCCATTTGAGTAGAATGAATATCACAGTTATCTTATAGTTGTGAGGATCGTGAACAAGAAGAGATTGAATGAAAGATGGAATATGGTTGGTTGAGTAGTTGAAGACTACTTGTCGGTATAGGAAAGTCCTTACAAGTATGTTGAATGGGCATCTATTGTCAGTTTCCAGCGTGACTTGTTGGAAACAATATTACTTGGAGATTGAAGGGCAATGGAATCGAATGTGAGATGGGAAATGCTCCACTATCAAATACCAATAGGTGAGGTTGAGAGCTTGCTGGGGAAAATGAGGTGACACATGTTCAGTAGGTATATGGGGTCATGTATGTACCAAACATTGACTGTTGAATGACCTTGTTTCCACAAATCTCGCAGATAATATTGGTTTCATGGATTTGCCCTTGGTTTGGAGACGCTGGAACTGAGTTGGTATTGAGGAGAGCAGTGGGTTCCGAGAGACTAGTTGAACCAACGACACGTCGCGGAAGCCGCGAGAGAGAATGATTAATTAAGATGTAGACGAGCCTGGTTTCGGCCTCACCTAGACTGCCTCTTCATTGCACAAGAGTGTGTAAAAGATCACCAGTGTGAGTAGTTGCAGTTTGTCTTATTGCAGTTTTGAAGCCGGTAAGTGGTTGATAACCCATTTAATATGTAGTTATGACCTCTTCGAATAGAGGGTCCGCACGGTCACCAAGGAGAGTCGCCTTAAAATTTGATATCCCAAAAGATATTTGCCAATCGCCTGGCTCATTCTAGTTAGTGTTGAAGCTCATTCCTTGAAGCTGCGGATTTGTCCCTGGCTCCGCAGTGGTTCGTTGGTGACGTCCCGATGTGTGGATGTCTGTACGCTAGGATCTACAAAGGGAATGCATTGGGCAGCTCCAGCCGCTGCGAGATTCTGAGTTGCAAGCCAAGTGACAGTTCTGATCCTTAGCACCTCAGGTGTTAGTCAATGACAGCATTAGGCTCGTCTCGCGCAACGCCCCACAGTGCAATCGGATCTCTTTGCATCCGGGCATCGCATGAACCATGAAAAAAACTTTCAATAACCTTGGCTTAGGTACAGAAGTTATGACCTGTGATTTCAGGTAGGGTAGTGTACAGTAGAGGAGAAAATTCATTCTTAAATATAGCCATGCAACGCAATTTCAGCTGAGCCTCTGGTTGTTAGTCAATCCGGAGACAGCGTCAGTTATTGTTGTTGACTTGTATCAGTGGGGGAGTCATTTTGATGGATGCCTATTCACCATTGTTGTAGAGGATTCTTATAATAATGACCTATAGCTCTGATCACATAAAGAGTAGGCAATTACAAACATATGCCAAGTAACGAAAAGCAAGTAAACCGATACAAGAATTAAGAGTTGTGTGCTCAGTGAGTATATTTTGGTATACTTATAGCTTCCATGAGAGAATTATATTATATACTTCATTAATAACAACTTGTTATATATGAGACTGTTTATATATTGCTGAGCAAGTCTGCAATGTGCAAGTGTTATTGTGGAGTGTTGGGCCAGTGCTTTCGGTTATATTGTTGCTGTTACAAGTCTCGAGCTTCAGCTCATTAGCTTGACAATGAGCTCGTCGAGCTGGCTTGACGTGGGTTCGAAGCTTCCGTTTGCGTCCGCGTACAACCTCACCTTTTGTGATTCGCTTCGCTTCTGAGCCCGGCCTTTTCATCTCCAACTTGTCACAACTTCATGATCTCTATTGTAGATTACAGATTGTCTTTCATTTTAAACTCAAAGACACATAAGATGCCTGTGAAAATTAACAATGAATATCAGAAAGATATAAGATTGTTTTTTTCCTAGAATTGCATGTGAACAATTTATACATGTATCAAAGCCTCATATCAAGATCCTTACCATTTTCTTTGAAAACTAGTAAATCGTAATGACCATAGTACTAGCACAAAATACTTACAGCTGAAAAATCAATACAGAATGAAGAGCAATAATATGCATAATCATGATAAGAATACATGCTATCACTGTCTATATTGATTATCTATCTCAATTTTCCATCTATACGTTCTGACATCTCAATCCTTAACATCTCAGGTCATTAGTATGCAGTATAACATCAATTAATTACTCTGCAGTTAATAATACTATAGTAATATATAGTATACTAGTTATATCTATTTATATAATTTCATCGGCTACAGCGCCATAAGCTCTCCGCTTACGGATCAACGCCAATTTCATATTTTTCAAATAAATTTTTTTCACATATTTGAGTTCTTACACGCCTACCTCGTCTGAGCCCGCCCCACGATTCTGCTTTGCACCTATGTCCGAGCTTATCACACGGTTCCATCCACATTCAGCATGTATACATTTAGATGATTTTTATCACTCTATATGAGAAATTGCTAACTCAATTTTATGACAAAAATTTACTTTTTTCACCGACTTTGAAATTACTATAAAAAACACTTTTAAAAAAGGGTGGACAACGCATAAAATCAAAATGTTAACCTCACATGAGATACACTTGAAGGAAATGTGTCTTAAGCTTGGTTTGTGACAACTTTCTCATATATTTATATTTCAAATCGCAATCATAATTTCTTTTAGTTACTGATTTCTCATTGTTTTTTTTTTTTTAATTTTTGTGACAAAAAATGTTTTTAACAATCAAAGCTTTTAAATTACATTCTTCAAAGCAACTTCACAGCCGATTTTATAAAACATTACAACCATCTCAAAAATACTCTTGATCTTCAACAAATTATAATTGTCAAACACTTCTTAAGTTATGTTCATTTCTATACTGCTTAAATTAGAATAGATTAATTCGGATTAACACATTTTTATTTCTCGCAAAACTAAACATCATGAAATAAAGAGTGACACTACCATAACAAACAAACTTCACCAAGACGTTATTATTATTTTAGATCTGGAATGAATTTGATTGTAAATTTAAACACATCGCATATACAATGCCTCAAATTTAAGACCTCTTCGATGATAGCCTAAGCTCCTAACCTTTTTTTTTTGGGACGTTTGAGCCAAGGACAACTCACACACATGCAAGACTCAAATTCAAACCCTCTTGATTAGTAGCCAAAAGTCTAAACCAACCGACCAAGTTGAGTTGCATCCCAAGCTCCTAACCACGTGCAAAGAATCATTTCCTCATATTTATGTCAATCATACATGTCCTACCCACAAGTAGGATTGATAGCAATCGACAAAAATAGAGCTGTTAAGCTTCCACATAAAGAACTGTTCCTGACATGCTGTTTTTTCAGAAAATAAAGCTGTATTCAGATGGAGAAATTTGAACTTTACATCATAGATTCTCCTGAGTCAGGTTTTGCCATTCCAAAGAATTTTTTTTTCAATCAGACAAATTTCAACACATAACAAATCCCAAAAGACAAAAAGGAGAGGCTATCCATACTTCAACTGGAAAGAGTGAAGTCGGCAGCAAAAGAATGCAGTCATCATTAGAATGCAATAATCGCCCTCGAATAAAGGCTTGGGTCTCCAAGAATAATTGCAGCTTTCTTCATTCTGCTTTTGGTTTTATTCTCTTCACTCTTGAGTACAAGAAAACTCCTGCTAATGCCACAGCAGTTCCTGAAAATGGAGTGACCAAAAGTTTAAACGAGGAGAATCTATGAAAGAATAATGTAGAAGCAAATTAGAAGGTGGAATTAAGGATCCAATTCATCATTTGAGACATTCGTTTTTGTTCTATGTTAAGTGAAATGTTTTTAGAATGTATCAAATAAGGAGTTACAATCAACACCGGCAAAATGAATGAATTATTACTTGTGGAGACCGGATACAGAGAATCGTCTGGTTTGTCTCTGTGAACAGTAAAAGCGCACACCACTAGGCAAAAGGAAAACGGAATTTTTTTTTCCCACATAGCAAAAATGTGTTTTTAAGTACAAAAATGCTAGTAATTTTCTTTAAAGCTGAGAATGGCACTGCCACATTTGATTGCTACAAGCAAGAGTGGCATTCTTCAATGAAAAAACCAACGGCACTTGCTGCCTTCTCAGGATGAGGCATATAAGGGCCAAATCTCGTCTATTAAGACAACAGATATCGGAAGGCAAATATGAATTGGTACGAGGGGCTGTCATTGTTGTAGGTGGGGTTGAGAAATACTTTATTTTACTCTCATCTTCTCTGTAAATATAAACATGGAAGAAATTTAATGTTACAAAAAACTTCATGGCAGCAGACGTTGATGTTATTTATTTAAAATCTGTTGTCTAGGACACTCCCGCTCAGTTACTTGTCACAGCAAATTAAGGTGTATTATACATTCAAAGATAAGAAAAAGAACTCAGAAAGAGAAGTTTTTACCAAGGGAATTAATAGCTGACACAGGAGTCTTGAAGAAGATAACCGATGATACAATGACCACCACACGCTTCACAGAGTTGCTTACTGAATGGGTAACCGGTGATACTCTGGCCAATATCATGTATGAGACCTGCCAGTTGTATGGTTTGAGAATTAGTACAGTGGAAAATATTTGTAGGAATTGATGAATAAAAAACAAAAACTGATAACAAAACTATAACTGAACTAAAATGGGCAAGTTTAATATGCCCGTGTATAATGATTGAGCAAATTTCAAATGCCATCTTTCTTGAAAGTAAGATTTAAGAAAAAGAAAAATTTCACAATTTGCAATATAATGTTTGTGTAATTGCAGGCTAACATTTCAACAACTTCAAATCTCTTAAAAGCATGATCAAATTAGAATTGGGCATATTTATACTGAGACTTGTCATGAAGTAAAGCACGAGGATTGAAACAATTTTGAAATGGATTTCGAGCAAAACCCGAATAGCAATCGAAACAATTTGGCGCCTATAAATTTTGATTTGAGCAGGGTCAAACTGATTGGGAAGTAAGATATGAATTTAAGACTGGTTGGACTCAATTTTTTGAGGTTGCCCTAACTCTGTTAAACATGATTGGTTGAATTCCTAACTAAGGTGTATGCAAAAACTGGACTTTCAGATCTCCATCGGAAACAATGCATGAACCTTTCTTTATCCCTGAAATTTGAATCTGTTTTGTCCATAAATATTATAAAAGAGAAGGATTTCTAGTGCCTTTCTTTATAATTCAGAAACCAATGAGGAGACGCAGATGCCTTAACCTCCATAAAAACCGAATTTTCTACATCATTTGATTGGAAACGATGCACGAAAGCCAAATAAATGATCGTTACAGTGAAATTAATTTGAGAAGCTAAGAGAAAAAGCATTTTACCTGCTGATAAGCATGAAAACAGAGTCCAGAAAGAAAACATCTAGCATAAAACTCTCTTAAACTCAAACCCTGTGAAATGAACAAGGACAAATAAAGAACTATTTAGAATTATTAAAAATAAGAAGAAAGAAAATTGAAAACATTTGTGCACCTGATACTCACAGAAGATTGCAAATAAGACGGGGTGAACTTGATACCTTCAACAAATAGAGTTATAGGCACTGTAAATAAAAAAGACATAATTGTTATGATGGAGAACAATGTTATGTTGTCCAGAGTTTCCTGCAAAAAAACATTTTCAATGTCAGGAATCAGCTTTAGAAACCAAATAATAATTGTCAGGAAGTAAAAAAATATATATTTGCAAAGCATAATAACTATAAACACTAGATAACTCCAAACTAATCCTCAGTGGCAGCAATACTTCCGATAGCCATCTTAAAAATTGAGTGGTTTCAGTTAAACTACTGATTTTCCTTAGAGAATGCGCGAAAATGATAAATAACCCAAAATTCTACGGCAAAATCTCCCAGACTGGCCTTATTTGACGATCCCACACTATGCCTTTCACATGGCCAGTTCTCAAAACAAGCCAGAATCAAAGAGTTCAATGCATGCAATCTCCATGCAGTAAGATTAACTGGATTGAAGCAGAGCTTCTTCAAATAATTTTACAATGTTGTATCCTTCAGAGACCTTTTTAACAAGGTAAAAGTGGAGTTCGCTCTTCCCGTGACATTAGTAACTAGGAATTCTTAGTATCTATGTCTCAAACCCTTGAAAAGTTGCCAAGTCAACCTCCTGAAGGTTCACCATGCCATACTTGTTCAAAATTTGTTCAGTGATTTCATCAACAAATTAGAAGCTCCATCCGTATTAGTTAAATACCTCTTCTCTTCTTGCTCCTTTTATGAAATTTAGAAATTACTCTCTACATCTTGTTCAACATACATATACTTTTCTCATGCCGAAAACCCTAGTTTTCCTTGTACAATTTGCTATTAATCATCAGAACATTAAATAAAAGAAATGCTATCAGTACTGCACATTTTTGTAATGGAAATGATTTCATCAAGTAATAAGACAGTAACAACCAGTTGTATCATACTGTAAGCACCTCAGCAAACATAATCTATTCCGCATCTGAATTACCTCTTTTTCAGCCATGAGTTTCTTGCTGAGAACATTCCGGGATTGATTGGTAACATTAGAAGCCATCGCACTCCAAAATCCAATCCTATTTCAAAATTTGAATAATCATTAATTGTTTTCCAATATGTAAATTAAAAAAGGGGTTCTCATAAACTCAATAAAAGCATTTTGTTTTTTCCGGCATTAGAAGCAGCAGTGATCTTATAATGTTCTGATAATATTAGTTAACTGGAAGTTTCAATTCGATGTACCAACCAATTAAAAGATGCTTCAGTGAGGGATGCCAGTGCAACACCACTAACAATTGGCACGAGAGAAGATATAATCCAAATAGTAGGTAACTGCATGAATATTTAAACAAAAAATTAGTTCTTCTCGGAAACATGCAGGCAGATCAAGAAGAATAGATTGCTCACTCATGTTTCATATATTGAAATGCTTTGATGGCACATTGTCAACATTATCATGGATACAATTTACTAAGGTTCATTTGGGTACTTGAAGATGGAAAATATGTTTTAGAAAACAATAATTTTGTTTTCACTGATTTTGCATTTGAAAATGAAATCATTACCTTTGAGAAAGTTTTGACGAAGTTAATGGAGTTCAACATCAATGTTGGTTTCTAAAAGTATCCAACCAAACCATGGATTTAATAAAGTTCACTGCTTTCAAAATGTGCTTTATACTAAGCGACTAAGGCTTCGTTTGGTACAACTTTCGTACTGCTTCATAAAATAGTTTTTTAGTATAAAATTTTCTAATTCAATATATTTTTTTTATTAGAAAGTTGTTTTAGAAAGCAACAAAAAATTGTCCCCAATGAAGCCTAAATGATCCGTTGGAGAAGCAAAATTCATAAGGGATGTAATAGCATCACACAGCTTAAAATATGAGGAATTCAGAAGCATTTTAAAAATAATTTTCACCCTTTTGTTTCAAATGCTGTTGTCCATTAAAAAAATGTTATTATCCGTTGATTGGTGTAAGGAAAAGCTATGAAGTAGAACAATACCTCTCCTAGGAACAAGGCAGAGAACAGAACCGAGAAAAAGGGTTCCATAGCTTTAATTGTATGCGTGAAAGAAACAGCAACCTTCCCCAGACTCAAGTTAGTAAGAAGATTGCCAAGTGTGTGGACAATAGCCAATGGAAGAATTGTTGCAAGCTGTTAAAATCATCCTCAAAGACTTAAATATTTTTCAGCAGTGATTTCATTAACTTTAGGTGCATGGAAAAGATTCAGGTAAAATAATGCAAATACCAGCGAAGTAGATATCTTAGGTCTTTTATTAACGTTAGTGCTCCACATGATGAATATTACGATGCTCCCAAAGGCAAACTGAAATGCAGAGATGGTCATTGGGAAAGGATAGACCTCCAGGATCTGTAAACATGCCCAATTCACGCACAGGTCAATTATTCTATGATCTAACTACCAATTAACAATGGTAAAGGCATATAACGACCTAAAAGAAACATGTCAGGAAAAAAACAAAAAGATGAACGCAGTTACTGAAAATTCAATCTAGCGAGCATTAAAATGAACAACACAAATCTTTCAAATAGGTTTTTTCAACAAGCACTTCACTGATTAAAAAACAGGAAAAAGGGCAAAAGGAGATGATATTACTCGCAAAAAGTAGGGTAGGACATGCTATCAGCTATAATTGTGGTTAAGTGCGGTGGATTCACTCATTGGTTAAAAAATATTAATGAAAAGTCATTCTATGACAAAAAGGGAACGACTGAATTTATTGAGAAAAACAAAGTAGCCACCCAGGCTCCTAAGTCAATCACTACATATACTGCTATGATTTGTTTTTAGTTGATCTCATAAAATTAGATTTAAGTTGGTTTTCTTCAATCTGGTTTACAATAACCTAAAACAGCAAAGAACTTTCATAGGCCATAAATTTAAGACCGAATTTCATTTCCAAACAAATAGTTTAGGACACATACAACATAAACTACTCAACATGTAAAAGCTTTTCCAGATCCTAAAAACTAAACTAACCAAACCAATTCGCTTATACAAAGTATACTAATTGAACTCTAACCGAAAGGAATCAATTCTTCTATCATTAATGCTTGGTTTTCCAGTTTGGTAGTGTTCCATGCTAAAACACTCACAACGTTAGATTAAGAGAGTTTAACGCCTTAGCATTTGTAAGAAAATATGGTATACATACAAATGAGAGAGAAATTGTAAGAGAAAATATAAGTTTTTATATGATTGTGAAAAAAACAAAGGCCCTAGCACAATTATAATGATTCAACTAGTGTTTTTCACCTGTTATAAACGATATTCCTTCCTGTAATTGGGAAGAAGGTGATACAAAGTATATAGATTAAATTATGTGATGAAGTTTGAAGAACTTTATGGATTGGGAGCTATCTACAAGATTTTTAGTTGTTTCTTTGGTCATTCTTGGGAGATCAAGGACCAAGAAGTTCAACATAAATCTTTCAGTTCATGACAAGACTTATTGTTGATATATACAACAAACATATGCCATATAGGCAATGGCGTGCATTGACGTTGTTGGGGGTAATAGTTGAACAATGTCAGAGGGCATGACTATAGCAAGGCACATTGGTCAGAGGACTGTAAGTCGGATGATCGTAGTCAGGCAACCATAGTAAAATGAAGGTGTTGGAGGATTGCAGTCAAGTAAAAATGATTGTAGGACCATAATGGGGGGAAGGTGGCCCGAGGACAATAATAGAGTGATAGTAGTCGGAAAGATCATAGTCGAGCGATGATGGTTGAAGGGCCATAGTCAAACAATGGTGATTGGAAGTAGGATGATGATGGTCAAATGATTGTAATCGAGCGAAGTCACAGGATCATAGTCAGATGACGGTGGTTGAAGTACCGAAGTTGGGTGAAAGTGCTTGGAGGATTGTAATCAAATAAATATGATCTCAGGATCGTAGCTGGGCGATAGTGCTTGAAGGATTGTAATTGGGTGACAATGACTAGAGAACCGTAGTCAGGGGACTATGGTTGGATGAATGTAGTTGGACAATTATGGTTGGAGGATTATAGTTGAGGGCGGCGGTCCAAGGGCATAAGTCGGGCGAACATTATTTTAGTGTCGAAGTCGGGCAACAGTGCTCGAAGGATAGAAGTTGCACAACGGTGGTTAGAAGATCACAACCAGGTGGTCAGAGGACTATAGTTGAGCGATAAAAATAGGATGATTGTAGGAGGGTGATAATGGGAGGACCAGGGTCGGACAATGATTGTCGAAGGTAGAGCAAAGATTGTTAGAGGATCGTAATCAGATGATGGAGGTCGAAGGACTATAGTTGGGTGACAGGGGTTTGAAGAATCGTAGTTGGGCCATAGAGTTCGGAGAACCATAGTTGAGCAACAATGGTCAAAGGACTATAGTCGGGTTATATTGGTCGAAAGATCGTAGTTAGTGACAGTGATGTGGTTGGAAAGATCGTGTCTAGGCAATGAAGTTTGGAGGACTGTAGTCCAGTGATGATGGTTGGAGGAGCGTAATCATCCAAAAATGATCGTAGGACTGTAGTTAGACGATGATGGTCTCAAAACCATAGTCAGACAAAGGTAGTTGGAAGAAAAGTAGTTGAGCAACGATAATCAAAAGGACCATAGTCGGGTGACAAAGATCAGAGAATTATAGTTAGGGGATGGTGGTTGGAGGGACATCATACGGTGATGGTGGATTATAGATAAAGATGGTTGTTCTACGATGATGGTCAAGCGGTGGTCTGACAGCAACGGTGGGAGGATGATCTGATAGTGATGCTGGGACGGTGATCCGACAATGACAGTTGGGCAGTGTTTTAATGAGCGATGGTCTGGCAATATTCTAATGATGGTGGTCGAGCAGTGGTTTGATGATGTTGGTCGGACGATGGTCTAACGATGTTAGTCAAGCAGTTGTCCAATAAAAAAGATGAAACAATGTTTAGACAACGTTAGTTAGGAGGTGAACAGTGGTAGCGACTGAGCGATGGTCCGATGATGATGGTCAGATGTTGGTCTAACCGTAGCAGTCAGGAGATGCTCAGATAATAATGTTCGAGCAATTTTTCGATCGTGGTGGTCAGCAAATGGTTTGATGATGATGGTCCAACAATGGTTCTTACATGAGCTCTGGATTCTTCAAGCCTCTAAGCTCTATTGAATCTTAAGCTGACATCCCCTTTATATATAAAGTGGAGGCATGTTTATAGATTTCTAAGAATGGCATACCCTACAAATATTGTAAAAATCCAAAACGCTCCATCATACGGCCCATCTTGATTCTTTCTATTAGAAATCGTTCTTTCAACATTTAAATGTCATAGTATTGTCAAATTAAGTGATCTTGAGCTCAATGGATTCATCTAATCAAAACACTCAATTTGATTATAAGTATGTGAGATTTAAACATCATTTGATCACCCAATTAATGTGGACCTTTCCTCAGGATTGTTAAATAAGTAAAATCTTCTCAATTATAATTTTAATGTTTATTAAAGTTGGCATGTCGATTTTAGCAAAATTATTAAAAAGTTCAAATTCTAAACTTTTCAAAATTGCTCAAAATTGACATTAGAGGCTTTGATATGCTATGAAAAAAGTCAAAATTACATCTTGAACGTCAAAAACTATTCCGAGGACTCCAAAAATATCTAAATAAAACCATCAAGACTAAAAAATGGATATGGACCTGTGTAGAGGGTGCACATAACAACGCCTCAAGCACAATACTCTTGGTCTTCTTTTTTAACTTGGGGGTTACCACTGCAGCACAATTTGCATGCAGTGGGCCACAAGCCTTCTCTTTTTAAATTTAATTCTGATTCTTACTACCAAAAAAATTAAAAAATTATTTTTAAATAATATTCTAAATATTTTTCTCCCCCTTGGATTTATAAATAATCCCCCGGAGCTAGGGGAAAGCAACATCCTCTTACAAAGGATCCAATTATCCTCCTAAAAGGTGGGAAAATTTGTCCAACAAGATTTTAAAGATTGTCGGAGGTTATCAAGACTCAATTCTCTTATCCATACTCCAATTCTCCCCTATGAAAGGGGGAAAATCTATCTAACAAGAGTTTAGAATTTTTGGAAGTAATTGAAGCTTGTAGTTCATACAATGAGGCTCCAATATATCATTGAAAAAAGTTTTGATAGTCCTCATCGAGCAAACCGTATTTAGGGGTAATGAAAATTTTCAAACTCTACAACGATGCTATAATGTTTCCTTGAAAGAGGAGTTAATTTTCCTCATCAAGTGAACCAAATTGGAAGATGATCAAGACTTTCAGTTTGCACAACGAGGCTCGGTCTTCCCTTGAAAGAGGTTTTGGCCATCTTAGTTGGGCAACCAAATTAGAAGGCAATTAAGATTTTCACTACCTACGACGAGATTCCAGTATTCCCTTGAAGAGACGTTCACTATCCCCATTGGGAAATCAGATTTAGAAGTGATCAATACTTTATTCCTCTGGCAAGACTCCAATCTTTCCTTGAAAGAGGCGGCGATCGTTATCATCAAATAGAATAAATTTGGAGGTGACCATGACTTTCAATCCCTTAGACGAGGCTCCATTCTTCACTTAGAAGAAGATTGTCCTCATCAAATGGATTAGATTTAAAGGCAATCAAGACTTTCAATCCCTTCAACAAGGTTCCGATCTTCACTTGGAAGAGGCATTGGCTATCCTCATCGAATGGACCGAATTTGGAGGCGATCAAGACTTTCATTCCCTTTACTAAGGCTCCAGTCTTCTCTTGAAAGAGATGTTAATTATCCTCATCAACTAGTCGAACTTGAAGACGATCAGGAATTCTAGTTCCTACGACTAGGATTCAGTATTCCCTTGAAAAAGGGGACATTCAGACCAATTTGGAGGTCATCAAAACTCCCAATGCTCACGGCGAGTCTCCAATCTTATTCTAAAAGAGGATTTGACTTCCCTCATCCAACAAACCAGATTTGGAGGGCAATAAGGCTAGTTATTGCACTCTTCTTAGAAGTTATATTCCTATATTAGTGATGCAAACATTAGAGCTAATTTTGATGCCATCATAAGCATTTGATTTGTTGTAGCCAAAGCATGAATTTTTATAAGCTACAAAAAACTTCATGAGAGAAGAGACAACATGTTGGAAGCTAAGATTAGACTTTATAGGCCATAAAAGACTTCATAAATGTAATATGATGTTAATAAGAAGTGTGATGTTATCATGTAAATTCAATAGTTTTATATGCGCCTTTGAAATAAGATTTCTTATTTGTACAATTCAATATATGTTTCTTCATTCAAGCTTGCCTTATTTCTTAATTAAGTGGCTGAAAGTAATGGTAATAAATGATGAAATCTAAATCCTTTATGTAATAGTAATCAAATATTCTG